TAAAATCAAGGTCTCTATAATTAATGTGAGCCACTTAATCTTTTCGCTCCTTGAATGAATGTAATTTTCTAAACACAGGTATCTTCTCATTTGATGAAATAGCAACATTTTGAGGAAAATAAATGTATACTTGACTTCTTTTATTAATAGCTCTTAATATCAAATTAAATATACCTGCATCCTTTAAAAACATAAAATTATAAAATGTTAACAAAATTCTTCAAAATATTAATTTTATGGTGTCCAGAACATTAGTGCACTTAAGTATAGTAATAGTTAGGAAGTGGCATACTACAGTGTAAAGAACACTGATTTCAGTGTCAGTAGAAATGGCTTATAGGCCTACCTGTGCCTCCGACTACCTGGGTGACCCTCCGTGGGTCTTCCTGTTGGTATTTGCAAAGGTGACTGTTGGACTAAGTGAAGTGATTCAGTTTCTTTCAGTGTTAGAATACTGTGATTCTGTATATTGTACAGTGTATCAGAATCTTTTGTTAACTTTTTGAGAATTTAAAATATTTATAAAAGTAAAACATTATATAATAATAAACACCCACGGACCCATCAAGCACCCTCAATAATCCTCTGTGGCCAGTTGTGCCCCTTGAATTCCTCTACCCCTTGACTCCTCTGCTGTGTTTTTGTTTGTTTGTTTGTTTTATTTCAAAGATTTGTTTATTTATGCATACAAGAACTGAGGTACAGGCCAGCGCTGTGGGGGTGGGGGGAGGTGCTGACAGGATTCACCAGCCAGAGACAAAGAGTGGGGAGCAGAACAGGCAGACTGACTGAAATACACTGCTGAGGGGAGCAGCAGGTGAGACAGGAGAGGTCTGCTGCACCATGTGGGTTAGCTCCCTGGCCGGGCATCAAACTCTTGCTGCAGTGGCTACGGATGGTTTCACAGTGCTATGCTTAACTCTTTGTGCCACCAGGGAGGCCCTCTGCTGTGTTTTTTATTATAAAACAAAACCCATACATGAGCCTTTCTTTGTTAACATGATCCCTGTGTCATCTGTACTGTGGCACCCAAGGTCTTAGAAATTTTCTTTTGCGAATAACTATAAGAAAGTGAAAATCAAAATCAACAAAAACTATGAACCCAGAGACACTTTTTGGGGGGTAGGGGCCGGGAGGGGAGGGATTGGGGTCAGAATGGGGCATGTGCAGTTGTATGGGGGAATATAAAAATAAAATTTATTATTTAATAAAAAAAAAAAAATTTTCTTTTGCTTTTTAACAGTCTTCAAATTGCCTCATTATTTCTTTTCATTTTTAATTGATTTTTTATTTTTAAAACTTATTTATTATCTTTTTTTGAGAACAGAAAAGGCAGATATATTGAAATACAGTGCAAAGAGAAACAGCAGGGGAGACAGGAGAGGTCTGCTGTGTCTCATTGATTTTTTTAAACATAAATAGAGACTTACATGCAGAAATAATCAGATCTATCCCAAATAACTTTTGTCCAATTTTCTCCAGTGATAGTATCTTGCAAAACTATAGTATAATTAGTATAATATCACAACCTGGTTCTTGGTGTTGATGTATACTCCACCCATATTGTTCATATTTTCTGTTTTATCTGTGCTCATTTGTGTGTGTGTGTGTATTTGGTTCTACACAGTTTTATCTGTGTGTAGATTCAGGTACCCATCACCATATTCATGATACAGAAGAGTTGCATCAAAAGTATTTCTCATGTTGCCCTTTAATAACCATACCCACCTCCTTTTACCATCCCTTAAAACCCAATCTGCTCTCTTTTCATTTCTAAAATGTTATATAAACAGAATCATATGTCTATAATCTTTTAGGATTGACTTTTATCACTTGCATAATTCACCAGTTTATATCAATAGCTTGTTCTTTTTATTGTTAAGCGGCATGGAATGGATGTACCACAGTTTTTGTAACCATTGACCTATTGAAGAACATTTGAACTGTTGCAAGTATTTGGCTCTTCTGTATAAAACTGTTATGAACATTTGTGTACAGGTTTTTCATTTCTCTGGGATGAATGCCCAAGAGTGCAATTGGTGAGTTGTGTGGTAATTACATGTTTAGTTTCATAAGAAGCTGCCATATGGTTTTCCAGAGAGGCTGTACCATTTTATATTCCAGGCAGTAATGTATGCATGATCTAGTTTCTCTGTACCTTCACCATTTGATGGTGTCACTATGTTTTAGTTTAGCTGTTCTGATAGATGTGTAGCAATGTCTCATTCGTTTTAATTTATTTTTCCCTGATGGCTAATAATGTTGACTATCTTTTCCAAATGTTTATTTGCCATTTGTATATCATCTTTGGTGAGCTTTTGCATTTTCACTCTATTTACTTCTTTTCAGACTTTGGAGTTGCTGGTAAATTGTCTATGAAGTTTGTGATATTACAATTACATGGGAGGAAGCATGTCTGCTACTGAAATAGAAAATATTATTTACTAGGGTCCTCAGCTCTGTACTAATGTCTCTGAAAATACAAAGGTGAATATGACAAGAAACTTGGTCTTGAAGTTGTAAAACCATCTGGTACTTTTAACTGGAAAGGGAAAGAGGACATATGTAGAAATCTGAGATTTCCAAATTACATTACTTCAAGGGATGATATTTACATTGTCATAAAATAACCATGAATAATGGCAGACACGGGCCAAGGATTCAAATTCATTTCATATGAGTTATTTCTAATATACAAAGAGTTTTTATAATTCAAAAGGAAAAATGCAAACTAATTATCAGAAAAATAGGCAAAAGATAAGAACAGGCATACCACAGAAAAATACAAATTACCAATAGACATGAATAGATGCTCACCTATGCTATAAATCAAGAAACTAGAAATTAAAGCAAAAAGTTGGCAGTTAAACATTCATCAAATAGGTAAAAATTAAAAGCACAAATAATTTTGGGTTTTATGGATTGTGGAAAGAGGTGCATTCACAGACATTTTGTTGGAAATAGAAGTTAGTAGTCTTTTTCTGAGATGGAGTCGCAGAATCAAATGAAATTTAAAATATACATATCCTTTGATATGGTGTTGCCACCATTAGGAAGCTGCACCATAGAAAAGCAGGTTTGTTAGAATGTGGCTAAGACACTCATTGCAGCACTAACTGTAGTAACAGAGTTATATTAGCAGTAATCTAAAATATCTAGCAATACGGAATTTTTAAAAATTGGTGCCATAGTCATACAGTGGAATACAGTAAGGTCACTCAAACAGGCCAGGTCTACAGCACTGACGTGGCAGAATGTGGTAGGATGCCCATGAGTGAAAATAACAAGCATACACACACACACACACCCCACACACACTCAGCATGATTTATTTAGGGTTTGTTTAGATAGGGTTTATTTAGATATGTGTGTGTCTAGATATGTGTTTGTAGGTCAAAATTTAAAAATCTGGAAAAATACATTGACCTGTTAAAAACAGTTCTACATCTGTGATATAGAAATGCTGGAATGAAAGGAATTATACTTTTTATTACAGGTAATTTGTTTAGTGTTTGCCATTATTTTTTCATTACAAAGATGTAATGCTTTCATGAAGTTTAGAAAGAAATTATAAAAGCTAAATAGCTCCTTTGGTCAAAAAGAAAGAAATTGCGGGCGGGAGGGGAGGGATTGGGGTCAGAATGGGGGGGCTGCAATTGTATGGGGAATATAACAATAAAATTTATTATTTAAAAAAAAAAAGTTAAAAAGTAAAAAAAAAAAAAAAAAAGATCTAGATAGCTTTGCCTAATGAAAAATTAAACATACAAACAAAACCTCTTTACTGATACAGTTTTAACTTTATGTATCTTGGAATATTTATTCAGTGATTCCTGCCTGGTTAATGCATTGTGTTTAATTGATAATGTTTACTGGTGTTTAGTGAAAAAATTCTTCTGTAAATAGCTCCAGTTGTGATTTATCTGGTATAATATCTCCCCCAATGGACTGTGAGTGGGGAATTAGTAAAGGAGATACTCATCTGAGTAGTCTATAGCTTACTTATCTCCGTAGGAAACCTTATTTCATATTGATAAAATTTGAAATCTTTCCTGTACCTTTTACCTATTGTTCATTGTTGTTGTTACTGTTTTTAATGAGAAATAGAAATGAACCAAAGCAACCTGCTTCTTTCTTTTATTCTACTAAATTAATTTCAAAGCACATTCTTCAGCCCAAATAAAAAAGTGAAGGTGGATAGAATCAGCGTCTGACTCAAGGTATCCAATTAATTACTTCCAACCGTTAAGATACATTCTTCAGAAAACCCCACACATAATAAGAAATCAACCAGTAAAGAATGAGTAGGTGAAATGTGAGCTGGCTGCAACTTTCTTTGATTATAAAACCCTTTTTAAGTTGATATTAATATTTGCCATCTACTCTATTATAAATCAAGATTTATTGTAGAACTATACCAAAGATTGCACAATAATAACGAAAACAGATTCATCTCAGGTTTTGAAATGTACCTAACAAACTCAACCTCTTGCAAAATAACTTTCTTATTCAAAATGGAACTGGGAATTGTTCAGTGCACAATGAATCATCTTTTGGCAAGTACAATAGAATCTTTAGGGACATTTCACAGCCTCTCGTTCAATTGTTAGGATGTTTTTAGCTTTCACAGGTAGGGAAGAAGATAGCTTGTATAGCCATCATCTTGTTGCTAAAATTGTACAGTAAAGATTTTTCAGAGTTGCTGTTGCACTAGATCTTTTTGCTCCCCCCCTTTCTTCTTCCTGTTTTCTCTACCCAGAGTTGCTTTGTCTTTTAAAAACAATCTGGAATTACTTACTGCTAATATTTTCTGGTTTTACTATTTACCCAGGATTCAAATGTTAAACATTAATGTGGGAAACTCCCTTTCCTTACCTCATAGCCCTATATTTATTTAACTGTTATTTTGCAAAAAGAAATCCTCATCTTTTCCTCTCCATTTTAGTGTACATTTTAAAATTGACAAACACACTTTGTTTTTTTTTTTCTTTTTTTCCCAGGAAGCTTTAGATTCACCCGTGGATGATTTTGAAGTGACTGAGCCTACAGCAGCAACTGAAGTGATTAAATATGAGTATCATGTCTTATATTCCTGTAGCTACCAAGTGCCTGTGCTTTACTTCAGGGCAAGCTTTTTAGGTAAGACCATGTCAGAAGCTAAATGTAAATCCATCACAGTCACACATTAAGGCAGAAAGCATATTTGGAAAATTATTTTTGAGAGGAAAAAAAGAGTTAAAAATAAGGAAACTGGGTGAGGTAAGGTTTTACCAGTAAATTTTCTCATGCTTTAGAAAGAATATCAAGACTTCAGAGTGAATGATATCATCCCAGGCTAAGTCTGATCTTCAGATTCTTGGCCTTGTGCCCAACATTGACTAAGCCCCCTGGCCCTTTTCTTTTCTTTAAACAAGTAGAAACAACTTAAAGCTACAATGTTTATTTACTTTTAACTTTACAGTAAAAATTTCTTTCAATCGTAAGAAGTCCCATTGACTCAATGCGCCCCCCCTCCATGCCTCCTTCCCTATTGAGAAATAATTATTTCAAGAACTGTTTATCAATTAGCTTAGGCTATACTTAAAAACAGCACTAACATTTCCTTTGGCCATCTATACATCTCCAATGCTTTAGCTTCCTGCAATGCTGTTACTCAACTCACTCTCCTTGCCAAGAAGGTGGAACACCCTGTCTCCTCCCAGGCCTTTGCTAATAAAGCTTATTTAATCAGCAACCGCATGGAGTCCTCACCCTGCAGCACAGCCCTGATTCCCTTCTTCCCATCCTCCCACTAAACAGGGTCAGCACTGCCAAGCCCTGCTGCCTGGGCCCTGGGACAAGGGAAGTTTTCTCCCCAGCCTACACCCTACCCTCTTTCTCCTTCTCTATCTGACCTTATCAGCAACATTTTGCATTTTGAACAGCCTTCTAACTTTTTCTGGATAGCTAAGACATCTGAATTTAGCCAGTGATATTTTATTTTTAATTAAAAAGTAGCTTAAGCTGCTTTGAATGTGTATTTGGTAGATTTAATCACTTGCTGCCTTATATTGTTTAATGGTCTCTAATTTTGCAGTGTTGGGGGTTTAACAAGCACTTAGGATTTAAAACACAAGAACAAATTCTCATAGACTCCCTGGTGAGAAGATTTTAATCTGAGGTGCAGTTCCTAAGAACTGACAATTTGGGGTAAATTTTCAACATGGGACATGGGGAATTGAGGACACTGATCGTTCACCAATACACAAACTCTTGCTGCAGATTTATCCTTAGGATTATTGCAGGCCTTTAAAACACTCCTTTATTGGAGTTCTATTTGGTTTGGAACTCAGAGGTTGAAGGAGGTTCTTGTCAGTGAGATGTACTATACTAAAATGCAGAAGGAGATCCGTTTATTTATCGGGGTGGGGAGAAAATATCTGTCTTGGTTTTGCTTTGCAGCTGCCCTACCCAGCACCTTCTTAATTCAAAGACATGTGGAAGCTGCAGGTAGAGGAAAGAGGACACTATTTCTTCAATACTGTACTTCCATATAATTAGTATTCACCATAAGCAGTTAATCACCAGAGAAGAGCTCCCAGAGACAAAACAAGTTGTTTAGCTTGTCAGCATTAGGGAATCGGAGGTGTTGAAACATGACTGCTTCTAGCTGGAAGTGGGTCTTGCCCAGGCCGGCGATGAGCTCATAGCGTGCTTTGCTCTTGTGTGCCAACAGCTCCCCCTACAGGACAGCACAGAAATTGTTCTTGCAAGTCCAATGCTATTTTCATATTTGAGTACTTCTAAGATCTTTCTTTCATGATGGTTTTCTATTTCTTTAATAAAAAAAAAACCCTAGCATTCACGGATGCTACTTCTATACTTATAATATCCCTTATAAGTTATAGTTAATTTATAGTTAATAAGGGAAAACCAAAACATTTGTTTTATGGAAGCTTTCCTGTTCTTCAACCCTCCCCATTCTGTGTGGTATAGAGTGAGTAGTAGGAATTTTTAATTCTATAATTAATTTGATGTTTGTTCAGGTATACGAAAATATCAAATTGGAATTTTGCAAAACATATTGAATGTTTTGTTGTAGCAAAAACATGAAAAATGATTCTTTTTTTAAATCAGATTGTGTTAACTAATTTTCTTTTTTCTACCTAGCTTAACCTAATGGGTGTTCAAAAAATATATCGCCCTGGACTTATAATTTTTTATATAGTAGTCCTCTCAATCAATTCCCTTTTCTGAGATGAATAATTACTTTGGTCCTTTATTTGTTAAACAAATGTATGTCAGTGTGGTGAATGGATTCCTAACTCTTCCTCTTATTCCAGGTCCAGATTTTTCTTTGTCTCATTCTATGAGAGTTTCGACCTAGAAAGAGGATGACTATAAAATTTCTTGCCCAGGGGTCTTTTTTTTTTTTTTTTGGTTGCTTCAAAAATAGTTCATTTAGCCTTGTTTTTGACAGATATTTAGAATTTCTTTTGAATTGAATTCTTACTAAAAATTAGTTTCCCTGCTTTCCTCTGTATTTTCTTGTATATCTCTACTTTGAAGGAAAAGCAAGTAGTAAGAGGTTCTCATTTAAATTGACATTACCTATTATTTCATCAGCTGACTTAGATTCCAGAAATCTTTATTCTGTGGACTGTGATTTCCCCTTATCCTCTGTATTGTTTACTGTCCACCAGCCTAACTGCTGCCTAAGACTCAGAAAAACATACCACTGTTCTTGTCACTCCTGTGTCTTATATTACTCTGCACCATGTCACATTTGTATCATATATCATTTCTCAAGTTGCACTACAACAGAATTATTTGTCTAATTGTTCACTATAAAGTGGTAAACTAGAACGGAGGACTTTAAGGTAAAAAGAGGGAAAGAGGAAATTAATATAGACTACCTACAACCTATGAAGTAATAAACATGGTTGTGTGTGAGTTTGTGTGTGTGTATAGTAGTAGTAGTAGTAGATCTCTGTCTTATATACTATTTATCTCACTCATTTTGATATCCACAGTATCAGCCATGGCAAAGCATCAACACGAATTTATTGAATGAACCAAAAATGAGGCATTTCTAAACATTTTTTTGAATGTAGTCCAAAGGAAAAAACATTTGGGGGTGCCTTATTTGAAATGTCTTATGGGTTTTAAGGAAGGAAGTAATGCTGTTGTTTCCAGGAGACCAGGACCCAAAACTTCTGTCTTTACTATTAGTCTGATAACTTGCCAGAGACTACAGGAATATTTTGACAAAAGCAAGTGGAACTTCCTATGGACTTCAAGGTGGGCATCCTAACTAGCTTTGCAGCAACCCTACTTCTACAAATACATTCGAAACATTTGATCCTTGAAGACAGTGACCATTTTGAGACTGCATTTTACTTCTGGTTCCTTTTCATTTCTGCTACTTGGTTCACAGGAGCTCAGTTTCCTAAAAGTAACATGGATTTAAGAGAAGAAATTAGTCCTTCCCAAAGTTCTTTTTCCCCCAAACTACTTTTGCCATTTTAGCTTTGGTTGAGGTGGTAGGACATAGTTAATACCATTTGCTACGCAGCAAGGTAAGAGATAATTGCACTTATATCAATTAATAATAAATAGTTAAATAATAATAAATGTTTGCATGGTGCTTTGTCATTTATGAAGTCCATTCTCAGATAACATTGGCATCTTCAAGTGCCCACTATTACCTCAACCTCACTAATTTTGAAGCGTGCTGTGTTGAAGAATTATTTGTATCATGCCAAATGCTTGCACCCACTCCCCATCATTCCATCTTTTTTTTTTTAATGTCCTGTCATTCTTTTTGTAGGCTCGCGCTTGGTCAAAAACTAATGGAATATGTTAGAAGTGGTTAAAAAAAACCCCTAGTCATATACATAATGACTTTTGGCTTCACTAGAATCTGAAACTTACATATTTTCCTCTTTTATTACAATTAGAGATTTCTATATTTACTTCAGCCTGAATTCTGATTTATTTCTTCCTTGTCTCTTTTCTTTGTTCTCAATCTCTTTTGAAAAGTAGACCAAGTGGTTCTTCTCATTTTTAAAATATTTAATTCTTTGTTTGACATATGGCTTCTTCTTGGAAACTGTTTTGGCATATTTCTTTAATTAGTCAGAAGGGCCACTTTTCAATAAGAGAGGGAACATTTTTCCATGCAGCAACTGAATGTCTGTTCCATCTGGAGATTCATTCTATTACTCGTCCAAGGAGTAAGAGTATAGAATTAAAAATATGGCCAAATAGTTCATGTAGAAGATTGGCCCACTTATTATACATTTTAATGATGGTCATGGAGAAATAGGGTGAATGAATTAGCCAAAGAATAATTGCTTTTCAAAGGCAGCATTAATTGAACCAAGATAAAGGCTGACACAAAGAACAAATGATGCAAAGTTTGAAATTAGAGTAGTGTATGATATGAATCATCAAGCAGGAGGAAGAAGAGTCTTGTTCATGGTCTGGAACAAGAGGAAATCTTTGGTATGCAGAATAGAGAATGCCAGGAATAAAGGGGATTGGTGGAAATTGGAGGGAAAAAGTAAAATATCCATAACTGTCCAACATTTTGCTGGAAGTAACAGGATGGCTTTTTGGAAGATGGAAAAGCTCTGGAGAAAGCGTGAGTGGCAAGTTGTGGGGCTGGAGAGAGCATGGTATATTTGGGGGACTAGTTTGGAAGAGGGGTTTCCTTAAAATAAATTTGGGAGGGCCTCCCCCATGGCGCAGCGGTTGAGCGCTGGATTGCAAAGCTGCCCACAGCCTCTGCAGCGCCACTTAGATCCCCGGCCACCGGTGAGGGTCCAACAGGGCGCGCAGACCTCTCCTGCCGCCCGCTGCTCCCCTCAGCAGTGTACTTCGTGGGTCTGCCTGTTCTGTTCCCCACTCTGGCTCTGGTGAATTCTCTCACCCTCCCGTGCTTTTGACTGTACCCAGTGCTTGTATAAATAAATAGATAGATAAATAGATAGATAGATAGATAGATAGATAGATAGATAGATAGATAAATCTTTTAAAAAAAAGATAAATTGGGGAAATAATGGCTGAAAATATATGTTGAGATGAAGTTATGGAAGAGATCATGGATCATTTTTCCTCATGCAGGAAACCTTACTATAGATTTCTTGGACTATGGA